AAGAGATAAAGAAGGAGAATGAGGAAAGGGTATTTTGGACACGCACACAGGTACACCCAGTGTGTTTTTTAAGCTACTGAGTCTGGGACTGAACTGTGTAGTCAGCCATGTGGGATCCAGCTGTCTTCACCACTCACCACTGGCTTGCCCTTTAGAACAGTTTTGACTGTGTGTCTTGGAGTTCTGAACTATTATCATCAACATAAAAATAACCTATGTATTACTCTTAGGGTTTTATGACTAAGGGGAATCCCCCAGGAACTTTGGCTAAAAGTTCCCCTTAAAACATTCTCATATTGTCTTCGGCTCTTTAAAGAGGTGGGAAAGGGTCAAAATAAATGGTACAGTCCCTGTTACCAAGAGTCTATTACAGTGTGGAGAACACAAATAAACAATTATTCTGACAGAGTGTTAAAATGGTGAGAAAGGCTTTATTCAAGATGATTGGAATTGGGGTATTGAAACAGGAGAGGTCAAACTCAGTCCCCAGGACAACAGGAGCAGCTAAGGATTAGTCAAGGAGCATGGTGGGTTGGTGCATGGAAGATTACAGAGGGAATTCACGCAGGCTACTGGGATCTTTGCTCAACTGAGCCAACAGCATCCCTGCTGAAGACAGATCAAGATTTAGATGTCACTGGTGAAGGATGAAACAGTTGATCATGTATCGAGATGAGGGATATCTTACTAGGATTCTTTGCTAAAACTAGACTGGGCAAGCCAGGATAAGGACCAAGATAAGGACAAAGGTCAAGGTCTAACTGAGAAGAAGGCTCAGAGGAACATGACTAAAACTTGGTCAAGGAGAGAGTCTTTGTCTACACAAACATGAAAATAAACAATTACAACAAAATGTCATAAGGAGATGAAGTCCAGTGATACCAGAAAAGAAATAATAAAGAGGAAAGGAAAGGAGGGAAGGAGGGAAGGAGGGAAGGAGGGAAGTGAGGACAGAAGTCTGACTACTTTCTTCTTTCTAAAATCCCTTCCAGAGGGCTTCTGTGAATCACGCCCACAAACATTAACAGACCATTTTGGCTCAGTTGATAACAGGACTCTTCCTGCATTCTGTCCCTGGCATAATATCCTTGTGATGGGTGAGTCATGCCCAAAATCTTTAAAGAAATCATTTTGACTTACTGGTAATAGAACTCTCCCTAAATTCTGTCCTTGGGACCGTGTCTTGTGATGTATACAAATCCATTTATTTCTGTTAAAGTACGCTCTTTACTGACCCTTTTCCTAAACACAGAAAACCCACCTATAGCCTACAAGTTCCCCTCTCCTCCCCTGCTTCTAGATGTCCTAATTTTCTGGGTCAGACCAATGAGAAAACTCTTTTCACTACATTCCAAACCTTGTCTTTCACTCTAAAAGCCAAATAAAAGGAACCCCTGTCTCTTATCATCTCAATAAAGGCATATTTGCCTTTCTCTGGGCTTGGTCATGTGATAGGCAGCTAGAAATGAGCAGGTAACCCTGAGAAAAGAGCAGAAGGACATCAGCCAAATCAATCACGGCTCATCAGGGGTTACGACAAGACCCTCCACGAAAACGCTTCCTTCCCACCCAGCTTCTGGGGCTGGGAATGTGAGGCAGATACCTGAGAAAAGCATATAGGGGTGGTTGTTAATTTCCCTCTTACCATTGCTCATAAATACAAAAGGACCCAACAGGACATTTTGATCAACATCCCGGGGCATAAACTGGGGCAATAAACTGATTGAGAAGTTCATCCAAATAAGCATGAACTTGGATATGAGAAATTTCAAACTCCTATGACATATGAGAAGAAGGATAGTGTGTTGGTAATATTTTATTATTTAATAGGGCTTGAACAAATTTCTGAGTCAAATTTCTCACCTGTGAGAGAGATATGCAAGCACAGGAAAAAGTCCGCAAATTCAAATAAAGAACATAGATACTATGACAGATCTTCCCCTGCTAAATACTCATTACTGACTCTTGGGATAAATGTAACACCTAACTCCACACCCAGTGCAGTTGGTCTTCTCTGACAGCTGCCCACCTGGTGCCTTTCAAGTGTGGAGGTGTACTTCTTTCCTATTAAAAACTCCTCACTTTCCTATTAACATTTCCCGTTTCCTACTTGACAAGTGTCTGTAGGTTTTCATTTTGTGTCCCAGGACAGGTCTCTAATCTTAGAGATCTGAACCCAAAGAATCAAGGATTTTCCACAACACAGATCAACACTCTCCCAGCCTATGACAGTTACCCATATTCGTGTTTAGAAATAAACTGATCAATTATTATTTCTGCAGAGTTGGTTATTTCCGTCAACAATAATGGTGTTCAACATAGGGCCAGAGAGAAACTGGAGACCATCTGAGGGTGGCTTCGAACCCAGTGCCTGGTACCAGCACCACGGGCCCTTTGTGCCCCTTCCAGCTCCCAAAGGGAGATCCAGTTAAGTTCGCTGGTCCTGGACCTCCCAAAACCTGGTAGACCATCAGGCTGATTTCTGAGCTGTTTTCATTTGTATGTTTATTTGGGGTAACCTCAGTTTGTACCACTCTGAGTGAGAAGTAGTGGTCTGCTCTCCTCTGAGAAAAGGGTAGTGATTTGTTCCTCTCTGAGAGCAGAATAGTGATTTGCTCTCCTCCAAGCATGGAGTAGTGGAGTTAGAGAGACCTAATGTTCGATGGTGAATTCCAAAGGGTCTTTCTCCTCTACCTTCCAAGTTTGCTTAGATTGGCTGTTGTGCATTTGCATGAGGCAAATGGACTGCCCTATTAGTAGACAAATGAGAGACTGAGCCTCTCAGCTCCGCAGAGAAAGGGCACTTGCTCCTCCCTGTGTGTAGGCACATGAGGGAACTGAGTGCCATACAGGGAGTGTCTAAAAGGAAAGGATTATTTTCTTCCCCTTAGGACAAGTAGTGGCCCTATAGGAAATCCCAACCACAATAACTACAAGCTCATCCAGTAAACTTGAAATAAGAGCTGACCACTCAAGCATTTTAGGCCCCCTTCTTGAATGCTAGATCTTGAAAGGGCCTGAGACACTAAGATGAGTGATCTCGACAGGAGAGCAACATCTAGTAGGGAGATGCTCACAAAGCAGTACATGGTCCACCATATTTAAAACCCGTAGCTTACACAGCCTGGTTCTCCTAAAAGGAAATAAAACATGGGAAATAAGACATCCATGACTGAAAAGGAACAAGAAAAACAGTCACCTTCACACGCAGCTAGCTTTATGCATGATAATTATGGTGCTTTAACTTGCAAATATTTGTAAGAATGGGAAAAAATTTACAAAGGTGATCTTCGACTAAAATTTCCAAAGTGGGGAAATTTTTATATTTCCAAATTGGTCTTTTTGTGTGCTAAGGTAGACAAACTAGGATTTCAAGTCAAGAAAAAAAGAATGGAAATCTTTCTTTAACTGATATTTTAAAATCAACAAAAAGAGGAAATAATCAACTTAGTTCTCTTCAAAAAGTTAATAGAAAAATATTTGAGATCGGGAACCAGCAGTTAGCATAATGGCTATGTCGCTGGACTCCCACATAGGTGACCACGATTCGAGTCCCGGATCCGGTAGCTTAAAACTCACGCCGGGCGCGTGTGCGTGCGTGCCCAAGATCCTGAGAGGAGAATGGAGGAGAAGGGATTGTGGCAT